ACATCACGTGCCTTTGCATGCTATCCTGTCTACTAAATGATTTTTCGCAAACGGAACAGAAGCAACTCATGTCAACTCCTCAGGAGCAGAATGTAGACTGAGAAAATGGTAGCATGTTGCGCATTGATATAGATTTAAAGGCTATGAAATTCTATAGTTTTTCTCCACCACCACCACCACATTTCTATCATGTCTACTGTTTTCTTTTATGGACAGCCAGTCCACAACAACTACATGCACTAGTCCAAGTCTAATACAATATACTTAAGGAATACATTCTTACCCCCGAAGAAAATTTGCGGAACGTGTTGCCATATAAGGATGCTCTAGTAAACCTAGCAGAAACAAATGTCCCTTACAAAACAAAGAAGCGAATCCTTGTACATAAGGGTGATGGTTTTATTCAAGACCTATTGGTGCCTGCTGTTACAAGCCTAGCATTTTTGATGCTATAAAATAGGAAACGAAACTATAAGTTACTCATTTGAAGATCTGTCACGGGTACTCATCAAAATGAAGAGAAAGGTAGATTTGGTTGAGGAAGAAGACCACGAGAGTGAACATGAAGAAAGCGAAAGTTCTGGTGATGAAAGCGAGGATGAAGAACCAAGAATAAAAGATGTTTTGAGTCATCTTTCCCGAGCAGTGTCGGAAAAGCGTGCTTCTGATTTGCTGCATAGTATGGCCGCTTCCAAAGATATTCTTTTCTGGACTACCAGCGGACAATTACGTCGAAATAAACGCACTATTCACGTCACAAACATCGCCGAGCTAGTTGAGTATGTGTTACTCCCTCATAACAATGACGTTACCAAGCCTCGTGCGCTGAATACGTTTCTAGATGGACTTGCACAGTTAGGAATCGATTAAGGTTTAATCAAGAACAAAAAGTTGTTAAGTGATTTAATAGCAATAACGAAAGTAATGAGGAGAGTTCATCGGAGATTGAAAATCAGGAGGAGGACGAGGAGGAAGCGGCTTCTGAGAATGGCGTTGAAGCTGAAGGCACCCAAGAGAGCAACAACGACACTGAAAACGACAGTCAGGAAACAGAAAGTAGTAGCCCTGAAACGTCCACAACCTTTCGCCCTAAAAGTCCCTGTGAACATTGCGAAAACTATAATGTGTACTCGACATTGATCATGAAATGTCCTGAATGCTCTTGGCACGATAACTACAAGATTTGTCCTATATGCGATCACCAGATCCCCAAAGATAGAGATTACATCAAAGAGGGCTTTCTTCGGTGTCACGATTGTGGAGCAAGTACACACAAAAACGCCAAGTCGTTGGAAACCAATTTTTATTTTCCTCCTAAAGAGGAGAACGAAGAAGAGGATTTCAAATCGCTGTGTATTTGACTCTTTTTGTCACTGGTTTTCAATACAGTTTTTAAAACTGTATCTCGTGTCTCTTCAACTTAGTTGTCGCGTGTTTTAATTGATCCTTGTTAAGCTATTAATTGTTTGTGTTTTTATAATAATACTAGTCAAGTTTCTCCCTTGGGGTTTTTACTGTGGAGTCAATTTGTATGCAACCGTGGGCTTGTTAACCCGCATAATTAACTGACTAACGGCGCGTAATTGACAAGACCATAAGCTCATCAAGCGCTGAGACTTCGACAGTTAGTCGTTTGCTCGAGATAGAAGGAAGAAAACGCTTTTGTAATGGTGAGTCAAAATTGAAATAGAGAGTTTTCAGCGCCACTTTGTGTATGTGTGTGTGTGTGTTTTGTTTATATATCCGATTTTTAGCCCTAAATAAGAAGACATGTGTTGCTAGGCGATCGCACCTCTTATTCCAATTTTTTTTTTTATGAGTTACTAGAACGGAGTTTATTTAAGAACCAAAAGAGCTAGGGTTTACCTAAGAACCATCTGTTGTTTTCTATAGAATTTTTATACCCTGTGCAATACTTTCTAGAGAGTCAAGTAAATAAAGATTGATATTTTTGCTTGATAGGCAGTTTTTCGCTCCGACCTCATATCATGTTTTTCCTTCTTTTGAAGTAAAGATTTTTCAGTTTACCTCTGTGTCTTGGTTTTGTTTATAACTGATTTTTAGTGAAAGTAATTTAAAGATTAAAGATTTTTCACCTAGTATAATCTGCAAAGATAGCATGTTCAAAATTTGCCAATCAGGTGACTATAGCAAATAGCTGATTATATCAAAAAAATTAGTTTTCTATTTACAGATTATGTCTCAACATTTTTTGATGACGTCAACCCCTAGGGTATTCTGACGTCACTTGCTCCTTGCCAGCTAAAAAATAAACTATGACATCATCCTATCTTAATGGCTGCATGACGTCATCGGCATTAATTTAAACTATGACATCATCCTGTCTTAATGAGATGCATAACGTCATCTCCGTTAATTTACACCACTCAAAAAGTTAATTAAATCCACAAAAAAAAGGCTAATTAGGTGCCTTCCTCACTACTGGAGGTTTTGCTTAATAAGTCTAAAAGCGCAGCTCTTTTGTTTAATAAGCACAATTTATTTGCTTACTAATCGAAAAAGGCGCGCGTTTTTGCTTATCAAGCAACAACAAAGTTTGCAGGACAAACTGGTTTAATAAACAAAAAAGAGAGGCTTTTTTGTTTAATACGCCTATTCCAGAAACATTCTCACCACGGTCCGGAAACAATCTGACTTTTGTTCTTAGTTCTTCGTTAACAACAGACTCAAGAGATTTCAAATTATTGTTTGCGTATAATATATTTGTATCATCAGCAAATAAATAGAAGTTGAGTTTCGAGGAAACACGGTAAATGTCATTGATATAGATTAAGAAAAGCAACGGCCCTAGTACAGACCCTTGAGGGACACTAAATAATATTTTCCCTTTACTAGAAATGCTAGTTTCAACTTGAGTAGTCTGGGTCCTATCAGTCAAATACGACGCGAACCATATCATTGATAATTCCACGTATACCGTAGTGACTCAATTTGCTTAGTAGTATAATATGGTCAACTGTGTCGAAGGCCTTTTTTAGATCAATAAATACGCCGCACGAGTACAAACCTGCGTCCATATTACCTTATATTCTGTTGACATCAGACAATATCCAAAGTTACGTGTCTAGTCACTAGTTTTGAGTGAGAGACAAAGGGCGAGAACAGAGATATTGACCCGAGGCCGGGTCTAAAACAAAGGTCACATTCCACAGGTCAGAGTACAGATCACCATGCCATACAAAAATAGCTTACACAAATAAAACCTCTATTTTGTCGACACTTAGGGTAGATACGAAAAACAATAGTATAGTGGAATAGGACAAAGTTTCCTCTCCGAAAACCAGTCACTTTACACATGAATGTCATCATATTTAAGTCCAAAGCTCAAAGTTAATAATAATTTATCTGCTAATAATTACATTAACATTATGATTTTCCCAGCCACAAATAGCTAAGGAACTAACAAGGCAGGGGATAGGAAAGATATTTCCATTAAATGGTTCAAGAAGACTAGACAATAATGGTGATACAATACGATCATAGAATAAAATAACAAAAAAAAAGCAAATAAATAATGGCAGGAGTAAGGAAAGAGACCAAGATGAAAGAGAATTAACTCACAATAATGTACAACACATCTTCATAAGACGGGGAACATAATCATCTTCTGAGGGCAAAAATTTAGAAGTAAATCCTATTTCTCCGAAAATACGATCGCTTGACCTTTTTTATTGAATAAGGAAGACAGTTCCTCCTTCTCCCCCCCCCCCTCCCCCCCCGCTAGAGTCTGTACGTTTGTCGGGGGGGCGAACACTGACGTCATAACGACATTTACCTGCAACCAGGATTGTAACTTCTATAACAGTACAGGTTCCATTGCACTCGCTTTACGCACGCAAACGCTCCGCTATTAAGGTGGCACAAATAGATTTTTGAGGGGAATGCCTTCCAAGTTTGAGCAATTACTTCATCGCCATCGGAAAAAGCTTACCACAGCTGTATCAAAAAAGATATAAAGATGAAAATTTTATACGATCTGTGTTTTATTGATATTAGAGTTGCCTTGGCAACGTAACCACACCATTGTGTTAATCTGCCGTCGTATTTCCCGATACCAAGTATTTTTTTTTGAAATTGCTTAAGGAAACTTGTACCTCCCATGGCTGCTTTGATTATGCTAAAGTTTGAACAAATTTGGAAACGAAGTTTTAAGTGTCACAAAAACAGTGAATTAACATACTATCGACATAATTGGCTAACATTTAATGAAAACGATGAGCTTTGGAATTGCAGTTCCATCTCATAGTGGTTTTATTCCAGTTGAAACTGAACACTAAAAAAGAGGGGGATTGCTTTGGCTGATTGCCTGAAAGAAGAATGTGATTAGCCTGCGGTCAGCTGCTTTTGTTGCAATTTTTGTATGCCATTTGGTCCACTCCTACAAACTTCATGTCTATTTAGAAACCACTCGATTTTTTTTAAGAAAACGAGACAATCCCGCGATTAATCATCAATTTATACCGTCTGCAAGTTTCAAGGGCATTGAAAACAAGGAAGGCAATTAAATGCGGCTCCCGATGTCACAACTGAATTTTCCCCACAGATTTTGTGTTCAAAATAGAGCATCCTCATTATTCTTTGACATAATTTTCTACTTTCATATACACGTGCAAAACATTAAAATAATTTGCATGAAAAAGGGCCCCCAAAGACTTTTAAGTAGGTGATCTTGCAGCTCTCGAAGACCTCACGGGAGTGGTTTGCAACCAGTTGGGTAAATAATAAACAAAGAAAGTTAACAATTGAACCTAGCCCGAAAACAAAAGAGCTGTGACCCAGCATAGGATTCCAATTAAATTAGAGGTTCTGAAGAGCTGCAAGGCTACTGTTGAAATATGCCTTTGAGTGGCTTGTGTCACGAATAGCCTTGATAGCACAGACCTTCAGAGGGTGTATGGAGTAAAGAGAGTTAAATGTATTCGTTCGTAAGCTGTGGACACCAAAATGAAAGTGTAACTGTATCTGTTAAAGTTCACTTTCTACCACTTACTATCTTCTTCAATGTCACTTGTAGCTCCTGGTAATCCTGTGTCATGTGAATCTTGTGGCTTAAGTTCTGTGACAGGATCCTTATCTGTAATGCCAAAGAAAAAAGATAATTTTAAAATTACACATAACAAACACGCTTGGATATTGAGCTTGTTTACAAAGTTATGAGATCTGTACTTAACGGAACCCGAACTACGTACTACGAACAGAGTAAAATACACAGATGAAAACCAAGCAAATTGATCCCGGCAAGGGGGAAGGGGAAAAGTAAGATCTCCTTGGCATTATCAAGAGAACAGAATGTACAAACAAATGAGCACTGTCTTAAACTTTCTGTTCGGTTAAGGGTTATAAACGAATTGTCACACAATGCAAACTGATGTCTATCAAACAGTTAAAAACTATTCATTCAATGAGTGTTTAATGACACGAGTACGTCAAATAATTCAATAATTATTTGAATTTCTAGAATCTGTAAATACTTTCAACAAACTTTCAAAATCGTATAGATATGAAATTTGGAAGGACATAATACCGCCATCATGTTCTACGGAGCCGCCTTTTCCACTCATCTTGAAAGATTTTCCCATATGTGCATAGAATTGCTATAAAAAAAATAAAAAATAACTGACCACTTCAAGCTCAAAACAATTTAAAAACGCAGTTATGTTATGCACATTCTAAAGTTTGAATCCGATAGTCATACTAGCTTGAGAAAAGACGTATCGTGCAATCGCTAATTCTATATTTTTAAGCGTTTTAACCAGGATGGTTATAATTAACACCTTGGGTAAGTAAATGTACAATACAACAACAACAACAACAACAACTTTATTCTTTGTATGCAGGAGTTGGATAGCTTGCCCCCGCAAATAGCTGGAAAGCTAGTTGTGGCGGGGCAAGACTAGTACATGAATAACATATCTAAAAATGAAAACCTTAAACTATTACAAAGCCTTGCAGATTGCAACTTAAAATAAATAAAACAAAGACGTTCAGTGATCTAATTAACTACACAGTGCTTACTGACAAACTTAATTTATTAATATAACAATGCACTTAAGGATAAGGAGTCACTGACTTTTAAAGATGGATAACACAGAAAAGGAAAAGCAGATATTAAAACGTTTAACAAGGGTATCTATCTACATAAAGTCATCCTCTTTTTCTAAGAAATCAAATAGAAATTTGCGAAGAACTCTTTTGAAAGTTTTCTTCGGCAGATCCGTTATATACCTCGGTATCTCGTTCCACAGCTTGACTCTGAGTCGGGAGAAAGAATTGTTTTGTATTTCTAGTCTAGAGCTTTTAACATAGAACGTTCCAGACGTAGACGATCGTGTATTGTATGAGTGAATATTAGACGTTTTCTGAAATAGATTTGACATGTTTACTGGCGCTTTATCATTATTGATATCGTGCATTAAAGTTGATACTGACTCATAATAAAGAAAAGTTATTAATAGCACGTTAGTTTCGAGAAATAGAGGAATTGCATGGTCACGCCTGTCTGCGAAGAACAACAAACGAAATGCTCTTTTCTGAAGAATTAAAATTTTATCAAGATAATAAGTCTTGCATGCCTGACCCCAGGCGGCAAGACCGTAAGTTAAACAAGGATGAATTAGTGACTCAGTAGAGAGAGGAGAAGTGTGACGTTACGTTACCATGGTAACAAAATTTCTGGATGACAACAATTAGGGAGTCTTTGCAACGGCGACTGCGGTTTAGATTGGCAAAAAAACATCTTTGTACGTGCATCACGCTTTTTTGTACATTTCTTAGCCGTTGTTGCACGACCGCGAAATGAAACTTCCTAATTTCACGCGCCCGCTTTATGGAGTAGGTAAACACAACACGAAAAATTTGTTTTTCTTTTTCTAAACATACGTACGGTCCTTTCGGATTTAACCCAGAACATTTCGCCAACATTTGACAAATTAAATGAAATTAAATAAGATCCATGAAGTTTGAAACAGTGTGAATCCACTTTTTAAGTGACGTTTTGGTTTGTTGTCATCCTAAAATTTTGCTACCAAGGCAACGTGACCGAGCGAGTTCTCCTCTCTATTGGTCGAGGTACAAAGTGGCGTAGCTTTGCAATTAGCCCAACATTTGTACTAATTTTTGTAACAATAGAATCGATGTGGTATTTCTAAGAGAGATTCTTATCAATAAGAACGCCCAGGTATTTAATGTAGACATTACACTCGAGAGTTTAGTTTTCGTTCGTAAGCAAGTCGCTTTTGGTAAGGATGAAAAATTACGAAGTTGGATTTATTAATGATAAGAGTTAGTTTATTGGCTGTTAACAAGTCATAAAGGTTTTGTAGGTCATTATTGACTATTGTCTCGAGATCTTTTAAATTTTTGTCCGCATAGAGAATGTTAGTATCATCTGCAAAAGGAAAAACCTAAGTTTATTTGAGCATCTGTGGATATCATTGACATATACCAAGAAAAGCAATGGTCCAAGAATTGATCTTTGAG